CACACTCATGCTGACACAGGAGAGCTCTGAGGTCTCCTCCCTCCTCTGCATGGACTTGCTCAGGATTTCAGTCCCTACTCAGCTCCACCCTCTCGTCCTCCTACACCAGGTCCTACCAGCTCTGCTCCACCCAGGTTTCTTCTGACCTCTCCCTTTTGCCTCCCCATACTCCAAACTGGAGCACTCCTCCGAGAGCCTCTGGATCCTTCTGGGTTGTGACCAGCTCTATCCACCACTTTCAAGTTCCTCCTCCAAATTCCAGATTGTTTTCATTCCTGCCTGGTGAGACTTGTGCTTCTCAAGTGCTCATGGAGTGGCCTGGATGAGTCAGGTGCTAACCACCTGACAGAGATGTACCAAGAGGTTTAAAACAACCCAGGGAAGACCGAGCAGGTGCTTCCACCACTGACTTCCTACCAAACCAGGGCCAAGGAAGGCCCGGTGAGAGGCAGTACCGATGCAATGATTTAGCCTGCTGTATTCCCAAAAACCTACACCCCCAGTGAGGGACCTGCTCTCCACCCCACTGCTGCAGACATCCTGCAGCCATGGCTCTGTGCAAGACAGGTAGGGCAGAAGTCAGCACAGGGCAAGGCATTTCTACCTCCGGAATTCAGACACTTGTGAAGAACACAGGCAACTTACCAAAGGGAATTTATTGTTTTCCATTAAGTCACGTGGTACCACCCTGGCAGCAAATCCCTGCGACAGGGCAGCAGATGCTCCCACGCAGATTTAATGTATCACTTCAAATATCCCAAGGAAAACCACTCTAAGATAAAATCTGGGCTCAAAATAGGCAAGATTCCACATGGGACAAGTGAAAAAGAAGCGAGAGCGGGCAGAACAGCATCCGGCACTGAAGGACGGAGAGAAACACGGGTTCACTTCTCCGGCTGGGAAGGGAGAGGTGAGGAAAGTGCAGTGGTGTCACTCGGCAGTGCCGTGGAAGGGCAAGCATCCCACTGGATCCAGAGCAAAGCAGCAGCACAAAGGGGACTAGGGAAATCCTGCAGAGGAAAATGGTGCCACAGAAAGAGCAAGAGATCCCGTGTTTCTGGACCAGGTGGGATAAGGACACATAAAAGCCTGTTGGAGAGATGTGGGCTGGCAGCAGGCACTGGGTAAGAAACCCCTCAGAAGGGGGGCTGGATAGAGTCAGGCATTTTCAAGGGAGTTGTCTGACCTTTCCAAAAGCCATCCCTCCATCCTTTTGCCTCAAAAATTACCTCCACAGGGAAGCCTTCCCCAAAGGCCCTTCTTGAGCCCTCAAACATAAACTTGCTGTCCAAGGCTGTACATCCTCTCTTGTTCCTGTTTTTCTGACAGATCTCCACTTGCTTCTCCCACAGACTCATCTCAGTGTCCTTTAAACCTTCTCCCACGGAACAGACACGTGCAGCCCCATCCTGTGAAGCAAGCATACTGCCCTTTCCCCACCTTGCCTCGTGGTAAGCACAAACCCTTCCTCCCAGGCTCTCTTTCCCACAAAAGGCTTGTTTCCATGAAGGCTCCTCACCTGGAAAATATCCACCCGACCCAACCAAAGACCTCTCCCATCATCCTCCCTCAGGGTCTATGTGTGCCCAAACCCAGTGTTCCCACCTTCCCTCTCTCATTTTCATCCCATATCCACCTTGCACCACACAGATTCCTACTCCTGCCTTGGGTATCTGTCCCTACCCACAGCAATATCCTCAACCAACGCCCTTCCCGCAGCGATCCGCACGCCTGTGACCAAACACACCTCGGCACTCTCAGTGAAGTGCCATGGGCACAAACCCCCAGGACACACACTGGGTCCAACCTCAGGTGGATCAAACCTGCTTCCTCATTCCACCAACTGCAGACCTCCTCCTCCTCCTCCTCCTCACCTGCCTCTGGACCAGCCATGGCACAGCCAGAGGGAACCTGGGGGGGTTGGAAAAGGGAAGGACCATGGGGTGGGATTCTGCTCCCTCTGCCAACGTGTCTCCAGGGCTCAGCGTTTCTGGGCAGCATTCCCCCAGCTCTTCTCAGGAGCAGCAGCACTCAGGGCTGCTCTGCTTGTCTCCCCTCCTGTCCCCAAATGCAGGCACCTAACACTCACCTGGCTTGTGAGGGCGTTTAGGTTTCACTGGGGTTGGGCTGACACCCAGCACAAGCGGAGAAAGTCCACGGCAGCTTCAGACAGCGCTTGAGAGGGAGGAGTATGAGCACAGAGAGTCCAAAGCCAAACTCCCTCCAAGCCTCTCCCGGGACACGCAGTACAGGCACTATGGTATCTCTGCAGATCCTCATTTTTGGTCATCTTCTGCATGAACTGCTCTACTTCTCTCCTGAGCTCACGTTAACTTAGATGACCATTATGTCATATGGCAAGTGGTTCCAGAGCTCGGTTAAATAATTTTTCATGCAAAATGCAATTTAATTTGTTCTGAACTGAGCCCCTTTTGATTTCACTCAATGCCCTCCAGGCCTGCTGCAAGAAGCAGCAGTGGTCAGCTGCTCCCTGGCCATTCTCTCTGGGCCATTGGTGGCACTCCAGACCTCTGCCATCAGATGAGGAATGTCTCTACCTTTTACTACCTTTTCCAGACAGACTAAGATGTCCTGAAAATGTTCATTTTCCTTGTACAAAAGCTGCTCACACCGTTTGCTGCTCCTCATTCTCTGTCCCTCTCCTGATTTACTAAATCTCCTGAGACTTGAGGACCAGGATCTGACCAGTCTGTTCTCTTTGTTCTTCTAATAATTCTCTGCCAGAGAGTCTAAAAGAGGAAGTCAAACAACAGAGAGGAGCCTGTAAGCCCAGGACAGGTCACAGCAAGAGCTCTAATGCTCAAGTTGAACAGTCACAGCTGAGTGAAACACAAACACTTGGGGTGACTCAGGAAAGTGCTCAGGGCACACACATGGCACCTCGAGCACAGGCAGCATTGTATCCACCTGATCACAGGCTAAATAAAATGTCAGTATAAAATTTGCATTTATAATCCAAAAGATGTTCTTCCAAGCTCACAAACCCCAGCTTGTCCCAGTCCCAAGGGGCTCGGTGTAGCACCAGGCTGGGCTGTGACTGTTCAGCGGGACACGGAGCCGAGCGCAGGGACTGGCAGGTTGTCTGCAGGCGTGTCGCAATCCCCCTCCTCTGCAGATGGGGCTTACACCTATTCCCACGTCCCAACCTGCCCATAACACACATTTTCCAGGGAGATCTCCCTGTCTAAAATATAACAAGATACCAAGCTACCTCACAAAGGAGCTGAGAACATCACACTGGTGTCTCCATACCTGAACAACACCACAACCGAATCCCACAGGCAGCTCAGCTCACAGGGATTCAGGGGAAAGACAGAGAGAACCCAAAAATATCAGAGCAAGAACCTGCCACTTTCATACGAGAGAATCTGTTTGGGTGGGGATGTGCACACTGTATATTTTAACAAAACCGAACCAAATTACTTTGGTCTGAATTAAAATCAAGTTCTTGTTTTCTAAGGGATTTTTTTTTCCCAGATTTGATGGCATATATCCATAACATGTCAGTAATGCAAGGAAAAACTCAAAAGCTAATGACCTATTTCTCAATTTTTCAATAAACTGGCAACTCAGCCCATATTCCCTGAGGAGCATCCCTCCAAACACACTGCAGTCAAACCCCTACTGGCACCGGCAGTACTTAACTAACTTTTTAAAAATGGTACAGTTTCCACAGGAGATACAGCAGGCAAAACCTGCTTTGGAATATCCCAAAGCCCAGTACTGTTTTAAGGCCTTTTGCTTCCTGAGAAGCAAGTTCGAATTCCCGCCCCCAGCATCCCAACAGAACAGGGGTGTCATGGCTTGGGTTCCTGCTGGATGGCACATTGGCAGCCAAACACGAGAGCTCAGCCCATGCCCAGCCCCCGCCCTGTGAGAGCAAAGCCTTGGGAGTCAGAGACACCGGACTGGGCCAGCAGACAAGCAGATCTCTGGTCCTCTGCTTCTGCAGAGACCACGGAGGTGCAGGGCAGCACATGGAGGGCTTATCCCGGTGTGCCCTGTGTGGACAGAGAGCTCTGCAGCTGAACAGAACGGCAGCAGAAGCTGCAAGTACAGGCTGGAGTCCCAGATCATGGAATGGTTTCAGATGGGAAGGGACCTTTAAAACTCATCCATGGGCAGGGACACCTTCCACTAGACCAGGTTGCTCCAAGCCCTGTCCAACCTGGCCTGGAACGCTTCCAGGGATGGGGCAGCCACAGCTTCTCTGGGAAACCTGTGCAAGAGCCTCCCCACCCTCACAGGGAATGATTCCTTCCCAATATCCCAGCGGGAAGCCATTCTCCCTTGTCCTGTCACTCCAGGACCCTGTCCAAACCCTCTCCAACCCTCCTGGAGCCCCTTTAAGCACTAGAAGTGGTTCTAAGGTCTCCCCAGAGCCTTCTCCAAGCTGCACCCCCCCAGCTCTCCCAGCCTGTCTCCAGAGCAGAGAGGCTTCAGCCCTTGGAGCATCTCAGTAGCCCAATGATCACAACTATAAAGCAGTTCTAGCACTTTTAATGATCTTACTTGACACTTTTTGAAATTTATGGATTAAACCAGACCTAAAATTCACGCTGTGCTTTGGTTGGCAGTGACTGTGACACACAGGGACAACGATTCCCCCTGGGGTCAGGAGACCCCTTTGTCCCACTCACCGGACAGCCAAGGACCCTGTCGAAGCCAGGGGCTCCCCATCACAGTCGGAGGCTCTCTCCCTCATTCTCTCCCCCGGTCACAGCCGGGGGGTTCCCGGCCCGGGGTGGCCGCACCGCACCCACGGCCGCCGGGGCTCGCGGGGCGCACGATCCCACCCGCGACCCCCTGCCCGGCCCCCCGAGCAAGGGGAAGACGCCGGGCTCGGTGGAGGCCGCCCCGGGAGCGGGGCCGCGCAGGCCGGGGCAGCGCCCGAGCGGCCGCGGCGGGCCGGGGCGGTCCCGGCGGGCCGAGCCGCGCTCCGAGGGCCGCGGGACGGCGGTGCCGGTCCGCGGGCTCACCTTGGGCAGCTCGCGGAGCTGGTTGGCGTCCAGCAGCAGCTCCTCGAGCGAGCGGCTGTAGCGATAGATCTCCTCGGGCACGGCCTGCAGCGAGCAGTGCCGCCGGTCCAGCGCCTCCACGTGCCGGTTGCAGCGCCAGAGCGGCGGCATGCAGCGCAGCATCGCGCCGGGCCGGGCCGGGCCGCCGGGCCGAGCCGCCCGGGACCGCCCGGGACGGGCCTGCGGGAGCGCCCGGATGTGCGGGGGCCGGGCCGGGCTGCGCCGAGCGGCGGCCGCGCTCCCGCGGCGGCTGCGCCCCCGCTCCGCTCCTCCCGCGCCGCCGCCCGGGCCTGCAGCCGCTCCCGGAGCCGCTCCCGGTGCCGCTCCCGGAGCCGCTCCCGGAGCCGCTCCCGGAGCCGCTCCCGGCCTGCGCCCGGGGCCGCACCGCCCCCCGCGGGTGTCCCTGGGAAACGGAGTCCCTGGGAAACGGAGTCCCTGGGAAACGGAGTCCCTGGGAAATGGAGTCCACTCCCCCCGCCCCGCCCCGAGGGCCGCGAACGGCATCCCGGGCATCGAGCGGAGCCGCGGGCCCCCGTGGGGCCGTCAGCACCCGCCCCCCCAAGCATCCCTGTGGAAAAATATCCCGAGGGAAGAATGAGCCCAAATGTGCTCGCACAGCGAGGGCTTGGGATTTCCTCAGTAACTCACAGACAGACATGGACGCACACACACAGAGACACACAGACAGAGACACGGAGACACACACACAGAGACAGACAGACACACACACAGACAGAGACATGGACACAGAGACAGAGACACACAGACAGAGACACATGCACACACACGGACATGAACAGACACGCACAGACACGCACAGACACACACACATGGAGACACAGAGAGACACAGACACGGAGGCACACACAGAGACCCACACACATGGACACACACACACAGACACACGTAACTGGAAGATCTGTTTTCCAGATTTAGGAAAACACTTTGCAACAGTCCCCTGCCACAGTGTGAAGTTCTGTGGTGCAGCAATATTTCTCTTGTAAAAAAGCCTGGTGGGACCAGAGATGGTGCAAGAAGGCAACCAGGAGTAGGAAACAGGTCCTTATGAACAGAGCTTAGCCCATGCCCACACATAGAACAGAAGTCAAAGGGACATGGCAGAGCTGGAGAAACAAGTGCTGTAATAGGAGAGACAAAGAGCAGGTACCTCCATCCCTTTTCTCTGCACAAGGCACAACAGGCAATCAAAGCCCACATGTGTCCCTTCTGGCACACGACGCCCAGGCACTGCTTTGTGACAAAAGCCAAAGTGCAAAGCGATTGGCTACCCCTGACCTGTCTCGGGACCTCCCTGTTCCAGCCCCTACTGCTTTCACAGTTTCCTGGTTGCTTTGTCACTCTTTCTCTTTCTTACCCAGTTTCTCCTGCTTTTTGAAGTTTATCCCTGCTCCAGCCCAGCACTGTCAGCCAACCCTTCTATCCAATTCCTCTCCAGACACAATTGTCTGTCCCAGCTACTTTTGCCCTGCATACAGCTCTTCACCCTCACACCAGATCCTACTGTGGTTGTTTATCTCCTTTCTCTCTCATTTATCTTTCAGAGAACAGATACTCCTTCCTCACTGTCTGACAGTGGCACCTTCACACCCACACTTGTGTGACACTGAGCAGAGCCCAGTGGCCCAGGAACACCCTGGGACACCTGGGACACCAACCCAGGGCAGGACATGGGCTCTGTGTGCTCTGCATCCCTCATTCTGTGGAATCAGAAATATTTGTGCAATGAACAGAAAGTGACCGATAACTGAGTGACACCAGAGCACAAGGCGCTGGTGAGGCTCTGGTGAGGCGCTGGTGAGGGACTGGTGAGGCTCTGGTGAGGTGCTGGTGAGGGACTGGTGAGGTGCTGGTGAGGGACTGGTGAGGTGCTGGTGAGGGACTGGTGAGGGACTGGTGAGGTGCTGGTGAGGGACTGGTGAGGTGCTGGTGAGGTGCTGGTGAGGGACTGGTGAGGTGCTGGTGAGGGACTGGTGAGGTGCTGGTGAGGCGCTGGTGAGGTGCTGGTGAGGTGCTGGTGAGGTGCTGGTGAGGTGCTGGTGAGGGACTGGTGAGGTGCTGCTGGTGAGGCAAGACACTGCTGAGGCGCTGGTGAGGGACTGGTGAGGTGCTGGTGAGGCACTGGTGAGGCTGCTGGTGAGGTGCTGGTGAGGCTGGTGAGGTGGTGAGGTGAGGGACTGGTTAGAGGTGCTGGTGAGGGACTGGTGAGGTGCTGGTGAGGCACTGGTGAGGCGCTGGTGAGGTGCTGGTGAGGCAGTGGTGAGGTGCTGGTGAGGTGCTGGTGAGGTGCTGGTGAGGCACTGATGAGGTGCTGATGAGGTGCTGGTGAGGTGCTGGTGAGGAACAGGCCTTTGTGCAGGCAGGAGGAGGTGAGAGCTGTCCAAGGGCCTTTGAGTTTCACTGCCCGTAATGGGCAGTGGCTGTGAAACTGTGAGGAAGGAATTTTTCACAGAGTCATGGAATCACAGACTGGTTTGGGTGGGAAGGGACCTTCCTGTGTGTCCCTGTGGCTGGAGGGGCAGCGGCTGCTCTAGGGCCTGTGGGGGACAGTAAAATTACCTGGGAGCAGGAAGGAGGGTCTGGATCCAGGCCCAACCATCCCCGCTATAAAAAGCCGGAGCAGCCCCGTGTCCCCTGTGCAGGAGCTCAGGGGGGGCCGGGAGCAGCACCCAGACCCCACACCCAGCGCAGGGCACAGGTAACACTTGGGGCCGGGGTCCCGGGGTGACGCCGTGGGGCTGCGGGGGCCGGGGCCGGGGTGCTGGGCACGGGGGGCGACGGCCCGTGGGACCAGGGTGGGGGTCGGGGCGGTGCCGGGACGTGGCCGGGGGGCTCCTGGCTGGGGGTGCGGCCGGGGGTGTCCCCTCTCCCCGGGCTGACTCCGCTCCCCCTCCCCACCTCCCCAGTCCCTCCCAGAGGAAGCGGCCGCGGCCCCGCCTGCGTCCTCACAGTGTCTGGGGGGTCCCTGGAGAGTCTCTGCCCACCATGGAGCTCCTGCTGCTGGTGCTGCTGGCCACGACTCTGGCCACCGGCGTCCCCCCACGCCGGCCAGACCTTAAGAGTGGCCTCAGGGAGATTGAACTGAGTATGGCCCCCAACTCCTTCGATGACCAGTACTCGCGCTGCCGCATCAAAATGGCGAAGGCGCTGAGGGCGCTCAACCGCACTGAGTTTGCCACCAACAGCGACTACGCTGACGCCTGGGGCAAGGCCACCATCAAATGGCACAGCCGCAAATTTGTGGGGTCCCGGCTGCGGCGGGAACAGGCCATCGCCCTCATGGCCTACTCGATGGAGGAGGGCCTATACTTGGAGTTCAACAGGGCCGTGCGCAGCGCGGGGCGCTCCCTCCAGGAATACCTGCGCAACTTCCCCTTCAAGGTGGTGCATTTCCTGCTGACCGAGGCCCTGGATGACCTGCGGGATGAGGAGACCCACCCCCGCTGCCTCGACGTGTACCGGGGTATTGAAGGGATCCGGTTCGTCACTGAGCCTGGCAGGACCATCCGCTTTGGCCAGTTCGCCTCCAGCTCCCTGCTGAGAAATGTCAGCGAGCACTACGGCACCGACACCTTCTTCGAGGTGCACACCTGCCACGGCGCCAACATCCGAAACTTCTCCCACTACCCTAACGAGGAGGAAGTCCTCATCCCGCCCTTCGAGACCTTTAATGTCACCAGTGTCACCCGCCAAGGGGACAAAACCCACATCGAGCTCCGCTCCCACGGCGTGTACAGCAAATACAACTGCGCGTGGCTCCGAGGTGACATCCCTGGGGTGGGGACACCTGAGGTTGGGTGTGGGGACAGGGCCGGGGTGGCACCAGGGCACCAGCTCTGCTGGGAAAGGGGTGAGGGTGGTGGGGCAGGGGATGGGGGTGCTATGGCTTTGGCCATTACACAGCTCCAGCTGCTCTCCTGGCACTGCATGGCACTGGATGGGATGGGATGTCAGGGTGTTGTCCTGACAACGGGCTCATTTCCCAGTGGCAGAGCCAATCCACACCTCAAGGTGAGGGATTTCTATTTTTTATTGTAGTTTGTGGAAAGTAGGGAGTCAATGGTAACCCAGCTCCCCCTGACCCTCTTCCCCTGCACCCCCCCAGGCAGCAGCATCCGCAGGGACCCCCCAAGCCTCACTGGGCTCCTCCTGGCAATGCTGGCCCTGGCAGTGGCCATCGGCACCCCCTGAGCCACGAGGACACCGCTGTCACCTCTGCCACCGTGCCCGGCCAAGACGAGGGCTCAGGAACGGAGCCCCCGGTGTCCCCAGGACAGCAGGACGGGCCGGGGGGCACGGGGACCCCCCCCTGCAGGGGGACACTGGACAAGCCCAGGGGACGCCCTCCCTGAGCCATGGCTGGGGGGTTGGGGTGCAGCCGAGTGGGGGCACAGGGGGGATTTGCTTCTCTTTGGGGATTTTTTTCTCCCTTTCAATATTTTAACTTTTCTTTCCAATTATTAAAGTGGTTTTAGCTCAACCCATGAGTTTCCTTCTTCCTTTAACCCACCTCATCCTGCTCCAGTGACTTTTGCCAAGAGCCTGGAGTGCCAGGACAAGGGGGAATGGCATCTCATGGACAGAGGGCAGGATTAAATGGGATACTGGGAATAAATTCTTCCCTGTGAAGGTCGTGAGGCCCTGGCACAGATTGCCCAGAGACCAATGCTGGGTCCTGCCCTTGGATCACAACAACCCCATGGAATGCTCCAGGCTTGGGATAGAGTGGCTGGAAAGCTGGAAAAGTTCCTGGGGGTGCTGGTGACAGGGGCTGAACATGAGCCCGGGTGTGCCCAGGTGGGTAAGAAGCCAGTGGCTCCTGGCTTGTAGCAGACACAGTGTGACCACAGGCCCAGGGCAGAGCCTGTCCCCTGTGCTGGCACTGCTGAAGCACCTCCAGTCCTGGGGGCAGGTATGGGGTCCCCAGTACAGGACACTGAGGGGCTAGAGCGTGTCCAGGGAAGGGAACAGAGATGGGGAAGTGTCTGGAGCACCAGGAGCAGCTGAGGGAGCTGGGGGTCTCAGCCTGGAGAAAAGAAGGGTCAGAGAGACTCTCATTCTCTCCAACTCCCTGACAGGAGGAGGAGGGAGGGGTTGGGCTCTGCTCCCAGGGAACAAGGGATAGAACAAGAGAAAACAGCCTCAAGTGTGCCAGGGGAGGATCAGGCTGGACATCAGGAAGAATTTATTCATGGAAAGGGTGGTCAGACATTGGAAGGGGCTGTCTAGGGAGGTGGTGGAGTCCCCATCCCTGGAGGTGTTCAAGAAATGACTGGATGTGGCACTCAGTGCTGCAGTCTGGGTGCCAAGATGGGGATCAGACACAGGGTGGACTCAATGGTCTTGGAGGTCTTTTCCAACCTAAATCATTCTGTGATTCTGTGATGCTGGATATATGCCAAATCAATGCTGGATCAATGCTGAATCCATGCTGGATCAATGCCAGAGTGATGCCGGATCACTGCACCCATCAGCCCCATGGTCACCAGCACACAGCTGTGCAGAGACACACAACTGGGGGCTTGGAGCTGTCCCTGTGAGGTGCCAGCCCCTCCTCATGTACCAGGAGGTCTGAGACCCCCCTGTGCTGCTGTGGGCTCTGTGAGGGTGGAAGGTCTGAACCTCTCCTGTACTGGTGTCAAGGGCCCAGGGGGTGGCAGGTCCCACCTGAGCACATGGCCAGCTGGGTGATCATGGAGACCCCAGCCACCTCCTGCAGGGACAGCGGCATCGGGGCAGGGGACACTGGGACACGGGGACATGGGGACATTCACGGTGGGCAGCGGCGGGTGCCTGCGGTGCAGCACATAGTCCGAGTGCTGGCCCTGCCAGGGCTGTGGGGCCGCAGGATCGGGGTCCCCATTGCACGGGATGGACCTCTCCAGGTACTGCAGCCACCCCCACAGCTGGGAAAGCATCCTGCAGGCAGGGGACACGTGGCACAGGGACATGGTGACACGAAAACGTGGTGATACAGGGATGTGGTGGCATGGGGATGGAGTGGCATGGGGATGAGTGGTGTGGGGACACAGTGGGATGAGGACTCGGTGACACTGGGATGTGGTGGCATGTGGACAAGGTGGAATGGGGACATGATGGCACAGAGACACAATGACATGGGGACATTGCGATCACAGCATCATTCCCCTTTCCAGGCTGGTGGCTCGGCTGAAGCATCCCACTCCTCACTCAGCTCCTGTGGGAACCCTGACCCATGTCTCCACTGTCCCCACTCTGTGTCCCTCATCTCCCCCATCCCCATGTCCCCACTCTATCACCTCTTTGTGTTCTTGGGGGTGGACATGGGCTCCTTGTAGATCTTGAGGTAGCTGAGCAGTGTCCCTGGTGAGGGGACACAGAGAGGGGACAGGGACATGAGCAGGACCTCAGTGACATCCTGAGGGCATCCCTGAGGGGTGACAGTGGGGTCCCTGGAGGTCTCACCTATGGCCCAGGGCTGGTCACGGCCAAGTGCCTGGCGACAGGGGCCCTGGTACTCCTCAAAGAGCTGGTGCTGCTGGTTCAGTGTGTCACCTGCCCAGGGGACACGGCTCTGCTGTTGCCCCCAGACCCCCTGTCAGAGACGGAAATGGTTCATGATTTACGCATTCCAGGATTGCCAGGGGACTTCTGCAGGCTGGGAAGAGGCAGCTGGACCCATCCCCCCTGCCAATGCTGCTGAAGGTGTCAAGTCCTGAAAAGGCGAGAAGAGACGTGTTTACCAGGCCCCTCACAGGAACTCTGCAGGCCCAGCAGAGTTGGAGGCTTGAGGCACGGCCCAGGACACCATCCATGGATATAATAACTCATAATTTCTTGGAGTGTGTGGGCTTCCCTCCCCCACCCCCAATGGATCAAGGCCACCACTTCAACTGACAGACATGGAAGCTGCAACCACCAAGTGTCATCGCTGCACCCCGTGGGTGGTGACTATAGACATCTTTCCACTCTCAGCTTTTCTTTCCCTTATTTTCCCTTACCCTTATCCTGTCTTTCCTTTCTCTCCCTTATGCATTTTCTCTAAAGGTTATCTTCATGCCATATTGCTATAGATGAGATAGATGATAACACCCAAAATGGCAACATACCTGTTTACCTTTGAAACAAAATTGTTCTAAAATAAACCCTACATACATATATATATATTTTCAAACACTCATTATTCAGTGTTGTTTCACTCTAATCCACCCCAAAGGATTTATTAATAAGAACCTGGGTAACTCCGTCCTTTCTGGGGTGGATCATAACACCCCCTAGGAGCCTCCCCATTCCCCTTGCATCCCCCCTGTATCCTCCATGTCTCCCCATGTCCCTTCTTGTTTCCCTTCGTGCTCCTTCATGTCCCGCTGTGCCCCCCAAGTTCCCCTGTACCCCTGCTTCCGCCCTGTGTCTTCCCCCATGACCCCAGTGTACCCCTATATCCCCGTTTCCCCTACCCATGTCTCTCCCTGTGGCCTCCCATGTCTCCTCTTCATTCTCCTGTTCCCTGTGTCTTCCCGTGTTTTCCTCCCATCCCTGTTCCCCCATGTCCCCCACGTCCCTCCATGTCCTCCTGTATCCCCTATGTCCACCTTTGTGTCCCCCTCTCCCTGTGTCCCCTCTGCCCCCCCAGGAGCAGTTGTCACAGGTGAGGTCACCACAGGGGACGTCGAAGGCCACCAGGTCCCCTCCTGCTCCTGCTCCTGCCGGAACTCCCGGAGCCACCGGAGCAGCAGGGTCAGCTGCACATCACGGATGGTGGCACGGCCTGGAACAGGGACACACGGACAGGGACACACGGACATGGGGACACGCGGACATGGGGACACACAGACACAGACACGGTGTCACCACCCAGCCCGGCACTGCCGGGACCCCCGGAGCCAGCAGAGCACCAGGGGCAGCTGCAGGTCACAGGTGTTGGGGTCAGCTGGGACAAGGGACACACGGACATAGGGAGACAGGGACACAAGGACACACACCGGGTCCCCCCCCATGCTGTCAGTGCAGGAGCCTGAAGGTGGATGCAGCAGATGTTCCCCGCGACACGCTGCCCCCGCACCGACCCCAGCAGCACCTGGGGAGAAGTGACACACGTGCGACCTCAGGGCGTCACCACCCTCCGCCCTCCCCTCAGGTGTCCCCCTTCACCTGTGCACCCCGCGGCACCTCGCGCCCTGGTCACGCCGCCACCGCACCCGCTGCGCCGTGGCGGGGCGCAGGGTCAGAGGCGGGGCCAGCGCCCACCAACCGGGGGCCAGCAGCCCCCCGGCTACCGCGGCCAGCACGGCCAGCGCCGGGCTGGGAAGGGGGACTCCGGCAGCCTGGCGGGGGGCGGCCACGGTATCGGGGCGTCGGCGAGGAGCGCGGTGTCCCCCGGCTCCTGCGCGGGGGCTCCGGCACAGGAGGCACAACCTGCGGGAGAGAGACCCCGGGGAGGGCAGCGGGGAGGGCCAGGAGCAGGACTCCCTGCCAGATCCAGCCACCACTGCGACTAATAGCCAGGACAGGACCCACCCCCCAGTTCCAACTTCCCCGTGAGAATGTCCCAGAGCCGAGACTGTCCCCCACCTCCCCAGGATCGCCCCCCGCATCCTTGGGCTCGGCCGGAAAAGACGAGAAGCAGCCGTCGGGAGCTGCTGGGGGGAAGCGGGGGACGGCGGGGCTGGCACGGGACTTCCCCTCACCTTGTCCCTGCAGGGTCCCCACGGGATCCCCGGGACCCACGAAGCCGCCTCAGGTGAGCACAGCCGGGGGGCACTTGTGCCGCTCCCCGTGGCCGTGCCACGTTCCCGGCCACTCGCCTCTCACCTCCGCACGCCGCGATCCCGGCGGTCACCGCCTGCACCTCTCCGGTGGGACCGGAACCGCCGCCGCCTCCCAATGGCCAAGGGCTGTCGGGGGGGCACCACTTGCCGTGGGCTCCTCACGCCCGGGAGCTCCACATGTCGGGGACATCCGCCGGCCAGGGAGTCATTCGGACACGTCCGGCCGCCGCCCGGCCGCATTCCTGCCACGGGGGCGCGGCAAGCGCCGTCCCCGGGCCCGCGGGGCGCAGACGACCGGGGTACCGGAGCACCGTGTGCGGGAGCCGGGCGATGGCCACGGGAGCCGGTGGCTACTGAGCTGGCCCTGCACCTCCGGCCAGAGACATCCCGACCGGTTCTCCCAGGTAACCCCTTGTCCGCCGCGTCCTGACCAAATGGCTCGAGGCCACGGCAGTGGCCGGCGAGGAGGAGGAGGACAGGGAGGTTGTTGTCTAAAAGCAGCACGTAAAGGAAACCTTTAAGACTCAATTTGTGAGTTTTAGGACCCGTGATGCACTGCACGGTCACAGCACACCGGGTGGCCTGGGAATCAGTTCATGTGCCCTGGGAATCATTTTGTCAAAGAGCACACAGAGGTATCCCAGCTACAGCTGATATGTCAGC